TGGGGCTTCATCAGCACGGGTCACCCTGATGGTAGTGCTGATTAGGGGTTTGAAAACTTTTTCTACTCTCAAGTGTTCATTTGGAAGGGCTCAAGAGAAAGCTATCATAATTTGAGACCAGGTCAAATTTTTCTGTTGTTCATGTCCAATCATATCTATATTTTCATTCAGTGCTTTTCAACAGATACTGAATAGAGTACATCACACATCTCTTTAAGAACAGAAGAATGCTCTGTTTTAACACTAGGGATTCAAAACTAGTTTTTTTAAGTAAGCCATAGGTATTTGTGACCTCAACAGAGCTACTTCAGGTGGGCAGTGGGATTGTAGGAGCTCATTCATGTTCTTATCTTGATGACCAAGGAACATAAAGGATATATATAGCAAATCTGATTCTCAAGGACTTACTAATTGTGTCTATGGAAGTCTCTGGGAGAGACTGAAAATTAATTCCAAATTTTAAGTCCTAATTAAAGAGCTCATTATAGCTAGAACTTGCTTAGGATGTCAGAGGTGAAAATACTGTAGTGCCTTTAAAATTGTTAGGAGGTGCCTGCTCAGAGAAGCAAGTGCTGTACTTTTCCTTTTGATTTTTTGATCTTTGCAGTCTGGTTAGGGAGTAACTAGGGAAAAAAAAAATTGAGGCAATAAAACCTACATTTAGATAGTACACTGAAATGAATTTGCCATTCCTCTTCTCCCTTTGCAAACATGAAGAACTTCTGTTTTTGCAATAAAATGGACGGTGAACTACCGATGCTTTTAAAATCACTGCTATGGCTAATTATCCCAGTGCAGTCACTTATGTATGCATCATTGCACTCTTCTCTGCCTTCCCATTTACCTCTGAAAGTGGACACAGCCCTTGCTCGGTAAGTAGTGATAATAATTGGTAGCAAGACAGACCTGTTACTCATCCTTTTTTGAGCACATTTCTTATGGCAGGTGTCTAGTTTTTAATTAACTGCTAATGAACATGCCTAGTAGACCATGATACTGCTGCCAAGCTCTTAAAAGGTGACAGAGCAAGCATTAGTGTCTTTGAAGTGACAGGAAAGTGATTATATACAAAACATAATTGTTTCTAGGATCTACTATGGCAAAATGTCTAGTTACTAACTACATCTAGTGAGTGCTGCTGTTATCCATCTCCCTGGTCTTGAGTTTCTTCCTTTGTGTGCAACATGTATTCCCTTTTCCCATTCTAGAAAGAGAATAACAGCCTCTTTTTTAAAAAAACTTGAACTGTTAAAAGAGCATGAACTACTGGAAAAGTTCATCTTTTTATGTACTAGGGACAACTTTAAACTTACTATGAATAGGTAATATAAAAGCAGTAAATCAATATACTTCAGTCTAAATCAGTGGTGAACCTCAGGTAATAAACATTAAATCACAATATATCTTTGTTGGCTTAAAAAGACCATGATTGGGTTTTCAGTCTTAAGTCTGTTAAATGTAGTTGGATATTTAAGCATCTTTGGGTACAGTTTTCTTCTGCTACCCTCAGTAACCGTTTTTCAAAGGTGCTGAGTGTTATGCAGTGATGCCTTTCCAGTTCAGCTCTCAAACTGTGTTCCACACCTTACACTGGGCATTGCTCCCCGCTGTTTGTATACAGTATTGCCAGAGAAACAGAGCAGCCCTTCTCATCACATTCTTTCAGTTTCAAAACTTGTTAGAGGGAATTAATCTGTTCCTCATTTCTGGGATGTTCAAAATACCCTGTCTATAGGCATATAGACATATGTAGGCTATAAAGCAGAGCCAGGGAAATTGTAGGTGTCCCTAATAGTTTGGTTTCTAAAGACAGTAAGCTATGCTTCCTGAAATCATGTGGGTTGTTTGCTAATTAAACCAAGTAAGAGATGTCTGAATAAAGGTAATCTTCACAGGCTTCCTGAAGGGATAGGGACAAGAATAGAAACAATTTAACTTCATTTCCCTATTTTGACCTTCCTGTGCCCACTGCAAAAGAAGCTAATTTGAGCTCGCTGTTAGAGAAGGGAGGCAGTTTTTCTCCATGGAACCAATTTGGGAGGGACAAACCACTCTTTGTTCTTGTCCAATTGCACACCAAAACTAGGTAATCTAGCATGATAGTGCAGCTAAGGACAAGTAAGACTAATGCCATGAGCACAGTACAGTGCTGCTGGTGCATGTGGTCTCATGGCTGGAGTGCAGATGACTGATCTGGCTTAAGTGGTCAGTGAGGAAAGAAAAGACTAAGGTACCATCCCTCTGAAAAAGCCTGCCAAAACACCAGGTTACCGTGTGATTTGAGGAAACATGCTGGAAACTAGATAGTAAAGTCTTGATAAAGTCTGTGGGAATAGAGATGTCCTCTTGTTCCTCAGAGGCTGGATCAACAGTAACACCAACCAACTAACCAAAAAAACCCTACCAGTTCTGTCAGACTTTACAGAGCTCTTCACTGATACTTGCTCAGTTACATGAAGCTTCACTAGCAGTGGCTGCTTTATTTTGTAGAAGGTGGTCTACTGCTGGAGTTAATGAAAATAAAAATAATTCTCAATAGTTGTGTCAAAATGTTACTTTTCGTGTTATTGTAAACACACTAGAACAGAAGATTAAGATCTACTTTCCTCTTACCTTGCTTTTTAAACATCCTGAAAAGCTAGCATGGATAGTGATCATATATGTGTGTTACAGTGAAGACAGCAAGGATTTTTACACAGCATGCAAAAAGAAATTTGTGATACACATGGTGTGAGATTTGGTAAACTTGTGACTTTATAGAATTGACTAAAGGGATTATGGTAAATTTTAAGATCTGTTGTGTGTATCAAAAATAAATAAATGATGGCTGCATTGCAGCTGGGACAGCAGAAAAGCAAAAGATTAGCGTATCCTATCCAGAGTTCTTCAGAGTGTGTCACTTGTGTTTGTATAAATTTATTAACAGCTCAAGGCATGTCTTGGGGTGGGGTTATAAAAAATAAAAAAGCAGGGGCACAGTAGTTACCTAAATAGTAATAAATTAAGTCATTCATATGCCAGTAGATGTTATGCAGATACTACTGACAGTTTGTCTTGAAGAGTCTTGGGACTATGGAAGCAGCTAATTTTTTTAATTTATTTTTAGTTATTTTGGAGTAACTTGTGAACTATTGTGAGCTTTAGCCTGAGTATGATTTCAGCAGCTCTCAGCAGTACATAAGAATATTGTCTGCATTACAGGACCGCTAGCATTCACCAGATCAAACTCTCGTGTCTAGCTGAGCTCATCCTGTTCAGACATTTGCTTATCTGTCTTCGCTTTGATCCCATGAATTGAGCGGTACTCCAGCTTTTTTTAGTGGTATCTACCTTCAGCAGAGGGGTGGTGAAGTGTGGCCAAAGTGGAGAGGTTTGTTCTGTCTTCTATTCATAGGCCCAAGTAAAAGGCAGCAGGAAAGAAGCAGAAAATATAGTTACCTGTAGCAGATGAAAGGGGAGCTTATGACTGAGCTAAGGATGATTTTGAAGCTTACTTTTCTAAATAAATCTGTGCTGAGAATTTTGGACAAATTAAATGGTTAACTGCACTTCGAAAATATTAATAGTACCATAACAGCTTTAACTAGAAAAAAAATATTTAAACTATGGGAAAGTTATTCTACTATAAGGACTCTGTGTCTAAAATTGCTTACAGGTTATTTTGCTGGATTGGTTACAGGGTTGTATGTGCACTCATTATGATACTGGTCTTGAAAGCTGCTTTTGAAACAAAAGGAGGTATTTTAATTCAATACCATGTTTCTTGTTGAGAATTCCATAACCTGATATATAGTATCTGAAATACCTGGATTTTAATCTCAGAGTTGATTCCTAAACATGGTGTTTCTTCATGAATATTTTTTTTCCCCCATAAGCTTGGCTAGAATAAAATACAGATTTAACTACAGTAAATACAAAATCAAACTATCTTTTAGGTTTTTTCAATATTCAAAACTGAAACTTAGTGTTTCCAAACTGCAGTTAGAAAGGGGTGTGAGTTTAAATCAGTCTTGTCAGTGAAATTTTTTTTTTTTTTTTCCCCTCTGGAGCACTGATGCTTCTTCCTATAGAAAGGAAAAGGTATTTGGGCCTTCTGCTGTTGCTTCTGGCTATTTGTCACTGGTGACACTGTGACAGACAGTAGCTGCCCAAAACAGGCTTCAGTAGTTGAACCTATTCCTTGGGCTGCAGAACAAGTATCCAGCTAGCCTTTTTTTGGTTTATGGGACATGAACAGATGGCTCACAGGGAGGATGATGTGATGCAATATGTGTAAAGAGGCGGGAGAGAGAAGAGAGGCTACATTTAAAACATACAAATGAAAAAATCCACTGTTGATTCTCAAAAATTAACCAAACTTCTCTGTTCTTCTTCCCAAACTGTGTGCCATGCATTGTTCTTCTGGGAATGATACTGCTGGGAACAGCAGCAGCAATTGCAGGCTCAACATCTCTCCCATGGCCATGGACCTCCAGTGCCTCTAACACCACATCCATCAGGACTTCAGCCCCCAGGAATCCCTCCACTTGGAAGCAGTGCTGGCCTTCTTGCCCTTTCTAGTGCGTTGGGTGGGCAATCTCACTTGGCAATAAAAGATGACAAGAAACATCATGATGCAGAACACCACAGAGGTGAGAGGCATGGCAGGCCTGATTAGGACATTGTCAGATTTGTGCATTGCTTCAGATTATGTGCATCTCTAAAGAATCCAAGTTATATAGAATGAGAAAAAAAACCAAAAAAACAAACTGTTGGCAAACTTTAAAATATCTACATATAAACACTGAAGCAAAATTCAGCTTGGAATTTTTCAGTATTTTAAAAGGGGATCTCTAGGTGTCACCTGCTCTATAGTTTGCAGGGAATTTTGACATCCTGATAAATGCTTAGTTGTAACGCCAGTGGCCTGCACTGTATTGTGGAAAACTGTTAACTGCATAATGGGTAAATTTTTCAAAGTAATATTGTTAAGTGCGTGGGTGGGAAGGTAGGGGGGACGAGAAGTTAAATTTTGAAGTGAATGTGTTCAAATGAAAGATTTAGATAACTGCATCTGTTACTTTAGTTTCATAGGCTTAAATTCTAGTACACAAATATTTGGCAAAATTGCACTTGACTAATTTTTGAATAGAAAATAATTTATTCTGTCATGAAATAAAACTAGGCTTTCTGTATGGTTAAACTGTAAATCATGTTTACAAAATACTGTAATTTTCAGGAAATCACTGTATTAGGAATGTGCAATGACTTATATAAATAAAAGCCATTTTAAAACTGTTCACGGCTTGTGTTCTAATTTTTTTTTTCCCCCCTTTTTTATTTCTGTTCTTGCCTCTGTGTCTGAACGGGCATGTCTGTGCATTTCTTGGTTACTGCGGGAGCAGACAGGGAGCCGGGCACAGTAAGTACCAACATTCCTG